GGGACTGCTGAATGACTGCATATTGTACACATTAGGTGAGATCCTGCCAATTGCCCTCCCTCCTCCCCCCTTGTTATACATCATTTTAATGTGTATTTCTTGATTTATATTTTTTGCTAATGACTCATTATTTCTGTTTATTTTATATTTATTTTGGACTATGGAAATGATGTTAGGCAAAAAGCAAATTCAAGCAATTTTCTTATTCAAGTTCAAAGCAGTGGAGGTAACTCAACATCAACAATGCATTTGGCCCAGAAACTGCTAACAAATGTACAGTGCAATGGTGATTAAAGTGGTTTTGCAAAGGAGACAAGGGCGTTGAAGATGAGGAGCATACTGGCCAGCCATTGGAAGTTGACAATGACCCATTGAAGGCAATCATTGAAGGTGGTCTTCTGACAAGTACATGAGAGGTTGTTTTAAAACTCAATGTTGACTACGGCAACAAGTCTCTTATTGTTTGGATTGGAAAGGTGAAAAAGCTGAAAAAGAAGGTGACTCATAAGCTGACCAAAATTCAGAGCAATTGTTATTTTCAAGTGTTGTTGTCCCTTATTCTATGCAACAATGAACCATTCCTCAATTGGATTGTGACATGCAATGAAAAGTGGATTTCATATGACAATTAGCAACAACCAGTTCAATGGTTGTACTGATAAGAACCTAAAAGCACTTCCCAAAACCAAACTTGCCCAGAAAGGTCATAGTCACTTTTTGGTGCTCTGTTATGGGTCTGATCCACTAGCTTTCTGCATCATAGAGAAACCATCACATCTGAGAAGTCTGCTCAGCAAATCGATGAGATGCACCAGTAACTGCAATGCCTGTAGCTGGCATTGGTCAGCAGAAAGGGCCCAGTTCTTTGCCATGCAGCACCCAACTGCATGTTGCACAAAGTAGAACCGATTGGGCTACAAAGTTTTGCCTCATTTGCCACATTCCCCTGACCTCTCACCAACTGAATGCCATTTCTTCAAGCAGCTCCACAATATTTTGCAGGGATAATACCTCCACAACCAGCAGGATACAGAAAATGCTTTCCAAGAGTTTATGAAACCCCAAAGCATGGATTTTTACACTATAGGAAGAAAGAAACATTTCTCATTGGTAATAATGTGTGGATTGTAATGGTTCCCATTTTGATTAATAAAGATGTGTCTGAACCTAGTTATAATGATTAGAAATTCATGGTCAAAAGCTACTAGTACTTTTGCACCAACCTAAATATTTTCTTTAAGCATTTATATATTTCCTTATACTTTTGGCTTGGAGGAGGCCAAGGTGCAACTTTCTTTGGTCATCCTGAATCCAGGTTCATCCAACATCAGCCGCCTCCACCATGCTGCCTAAGTTTAACCCCAGTGAGATCAAAGTCGTGTATCTGAGGTTCACTGATGGCACAGTTGGTTCCATGTCTGCCTTGGGCCCCAAGATTGGCCCCCTGGGTTTGTCTTCAAAAAAGATTGGTGATGACATTGCCAAGGCAACTGATGACTGGACCGGTCTAAGGATTATGGTGAAACTGACTATCCAGAACAGACAGGCCCAGATTGAAGTGGTACTCTCTGCCTTGCTCTCATCATCAAAGCCCTCAAGGAATCACCAAGAATCAGAAAGAAACAGAAAAACATTAAACACCACAGAAATAACACTTTTGATGAGTTGTCAACATTGCCAGACAGATGCAGCACCGATCTTTAGCCAGAGAACTCTCTGGAACCATTAAAGAGATCCTGGGGATGACCCAGTCAGTGGGCTGCAATGTTGATGACCTCCACACATGACATCATAGATGAAAACAGTGGTGCTGTGGACTGCCACCTAGCTAAAAAGTACAAGGAAAACGTTTCAATAAAGGATCAATTGACACCCACTCCCCCCAAATAATAAATATTTCCTTATAGCAAACCCTAATTTTCTATTCTTTGTAACTTGATCCTTAATTTAAAATGTCATGGACTGGGTGGTGCCTGTGGCTCAAAGGAGTAGGGCACCGGCCCCATATACTGGAGGTGGCGGGTTCAAACCACCACTTTGCTTGGGCTTTCAACCTTCCAATGCTTGTGCTCAAGAGATCCTCCTCCTTGCTCGGGTTCAAACCTTCCAATGCTTAGGCTCAAGTAATCTTCCTCCCTCAGCCTCCTGAGCAGCTAGGACTAGGGGAGTGTGTTCCCATATGGCTAATTTTTTAAAAAAAATTTTGTAGAGATGGGTCTCACTGTGTTGCTCTGACTGGTTATGAGTGATTCTCCTGTCTGGGCCTCCCAAAGTGCTGATATTATAGGTGTGAGTCACCATGCTCTGCCCAAGAAAGATATTATTTAAACTTAATGCTAGAGATAAAAAACATTTCCCCCCCCACTGGAAAAAAGTCAGTCTAATTAGGAAAATGAAAAGCAGTTGTTTGGTAAAATCTTTTGGTCTATTGTTAGATTAAAAGATTGTTCATAAAGGCATACACTAAGAGCTTCAGTTTGGGAAGATGAAAAAGTTCTGGAGATAGATGGCAGTGATGGTTAAATGCCACTTAATTGAACATATTTAATGCCACTGAATTGTACACTAAAAACGGCTAGAATGGTAAATTTTATTTTTATATTATACCACAATAAAAACTACAGAATAAAAAGCACTCAGGATTATTAAAAAGCCCTCCATATATGGGTGGCTCCTGTGGCTCAAGAAGTAGGGTGCTGGCTCCATATGCTGGAGGTGGTGGGTTCAAATCCAGCCCCAGCCAAAAATTGCAAAAAAAAAAAAAAAAAAAAGCCCTCCATATAAAGCTGACACTCTCATTTCTTAAAATATTGATGTTAGTAACCCTTCTTAAGAAATTCAAGTTGTTTTTGAAATTGTTTAACAAATGACTTGAGTTTCCTGACGATAGGGTCAGCTGGAGAAATACAGAAAGTATGTTTAAAGTAAAAATCTGGCTGGGCATAGTGGCTCATGCCTGTAATCCTAGCACTCTGGGAGGCTGAGGCAGGATAGATTGAGTTCACGTGTTCAAGACCAGCCTGACTTGGAGAGTGACCCGTCTCTGCTAAAAATAGAAAAATTGAGGCAAGAGGATTGCTTGAGCTCAAGTTGGGGAAAAAAATAATTTAAAAATCTATTCTTTAGCCAGTGATACTGGTTCTTCTTGTTTACAAAATTACCATCCTAAAGATGCTTTCAAATAGAGCATCGCCTGTGGCTCAAAAAGTAGGGTACTGGCTGGGTTCAAACCCCACTCCAGCCAAACTGCAACAAAAAAAATAGCTGGGCATTGTGGTGGGGCCTGTAGTCCCAGCTACTTGGGAGGCTGAGGCAAGAGAATTGCCTAAGCCCAGGAGTTGGAGGTTGCTGTGAGCTGTGACACCATGGCACTACCCCAAAAGTGACAAAGTGAGATTCTGTCTCATTAAAAAAAAAAAAAAAATGCTTTCAAATCTTTTTGATTTGGAAAAATGGAGTCTCAATTGATGCCTCTAAAAATTTTTGTTTTTGAGATAGAGTCTTTGTTGCCCTCAGTAGAGTGCTGTGGCGTCACAGCTCACAGAAACCTCAAACTCTTGGGTTTAAAGCGATTCTCTTGCCTCAGCCTCCCCAGTAGCTGGTACTATAGGCACCTGCCACAACACCCAGCTATTTTTGGTTGCAGTTGTCATTGTTTAGCAGATCCAGACCGGCTCCAACCTGCCACCCTCGGTGTATGTGGCCAGCGCCCTTACTCGGTGAGCTATGGGTGCCAAGCCAGATGCCTCTAAAATTTGAGATTTAGATCACAAATGGCTCCACAAGACTAAACTCTGCTGGAGGGTAAGGATGTTTCCATAATCATACAACTTCCAGAGCTAGGCAGTATGTGTCATGTTTGTAGGCAGTCAATGCTTTTGTAATAAATGACCTCATACTGAAGAATGCAGAAAAAAAGAAAACTAGCAATTTTTGTATAAACAATTAGAATATGATGAATGTAACAGAAAATATAGTGTTTACATGAAGTGAAAGGAGACGACTCAGCCCATTTTGGAAATTCCTATCTTGAGATTATCTTGTATATGTGTATAAATATGTATAAATATCTTCCGTGTTCTAAACTTGCCAGGATAAACCTCATCATCAGATGTTCAAATTAACTTTAGTGTGGTATCTTATCTAAAACGACTGCTAAAATGTGTAATAGTAACTATTTCAATATATAAATCTACAGACTGACTCCAACATCACAAAGAGAGTTTTAGCAATAGGACGATGTTAAAAGTCTAAACCTAGAAATCATTATCAAACAAGAATCTTTCAAGTCACCAGAGTTTGGATGCAAACAAGGATAGAAGTCAACATTTAGCGACAGAGGGGCACAGTATAATTTAGTATAGCTATCAAACAAGGAATATCCTATTTTCTTGAGCTTTTAACAGGCTTCTCTTTGCCAGACCAGATCCACCCCACTTTTCAATAAGTAGATCTAATTATCACCTTTCCTCGATTCTAACTTGTCGTTTTCATTACTACTATTAATTATGTTAACAGTTTAAAATCAAAGTCTCCCCCCACCCGGCTTCTCCCCCAGTCCTAAAAATATTGCTATTAAATGGCCCATTTCACAATCAAGAAAATGAATGCATTAGTTACATGTGATTTTACCTGCGACGTAAGCTTTTAACTTCACAGCCTAAAACCTCTCTTGGAAAGTGCTTTTTTAGGTAGTACTCCACCAATCTTAACTAGTTTGTGGGAGTTATGGGGAGAAAACCCTTTCAGAAAAGGGTTTAGACACAAGGAAGTCTTAATTGTACAAACGCTGCAGCAAAACCTAAACCACCAACAGCCCGGTCTTCCAGCACCCAATCGCAAGTGGTGCTCAAAAGTCCCAAGGTCTGCCTCGGTCTGTCTAGATCACTAAGGAGCAGAGGCCAGGGCAAATGTACGATTTTGGCTTCAGCCTGCTTAAGTCCCTAATGTTAGTGCCCACATCATATCCTTGCCCGAATCGCCTGCCTTTATTCGCTTACGGGTAGTTCGCATCCATTGGAGCAGCGCCGGGCGGTCGGCTGGAGCCACAGTACGCACCAGCTGCAGGATAGCTAGTCTCGCCGAGCAAAATTCCATGTTTCAGCAGCCAGCGAAGTAGGAGCGGGTTCGCAGTGCGCACGCGCAGGTGAGACCCCGGGCCAGCGGTTGAGCCTTTCTAGGCGGTGAAAACCCTAGGCCCGCCCCCCCTGCAAGCCTCACGTGCGCGCGGGAGTCCCTACTTTCAATCCCACCCCGCTTTCCTTCCACTCCAAGCTGGCGGGGCTGAGTGTAGTCACATTTTCTTAAGGTGACCCCTCCAAGCCTGACTTCTTTCCCGAGATCGGCGCTACAGAGCCTCCTATATTACCACTAACTTTGCTGCTGCGGTCATCCAGCAGTAGGAAACTAAAGTGCAAAAGCCAGGGCAACCAAACACCTCTTTAAATGCCCAAGAGAAGCACTGAAACAACCCCGGGGTGTGCCCCGGAAGCGGAAGTGCATCCCCGTCATGAAAGGCTGGACTACCCAGAGTGGTGACGTCTCCTCATTGGGCGGAAGGTTCGGTGGCAGTCGTCGGTCTTCCAGCTGGTGGGAGTTGGCGTCGCGGTGCTGGGCACTGGGACCCTGGTTTATATAGTTCGGGAGGTAGGGTTTGTGGGGTCGTACCTGTCTGCCGCTCCCACCTTTCTTGGATTTCCACCCACGGCGTGAGGCTTCGCTAAAGAATCCCCGGCCCCTTTAGGGCCACGGCGTTAGTGGTGCCTTTTGCGGTAAGTGTCTTCTTTTTCCCGCCCCAGATTTCGGAGGGGCAGCCCAAGTCTTACTTAGGGGGCGAGAGACTCTGGAGGGAGTCGGCTTCCCTGGCCACCGGCTGTCGTCACCGAGACAGGTGCTCTGGCCCTTCTTTATCTCGTGTCCTCCATCAGAAGTTTTATTAAAAGATGCGATATGACTCTTTTAAGTTTTCAGATTTGCCAGAACCAAATAAGATGTGGGTGGTTGCAGGCCTGACACTTTGTTTTGCTTTCCTGAGCGAGAATTTAGTTGAGGCTACTTCTCTGAAAACCTTTTGACGTATACCATATTTTATTTCCCATGTGTTTATAGTTTTTGACACATGTCCTGCGTGTAGTAGACGTGTAATAAATAATAAGGAATAGCAGTTCTATGTCCATGATGATTTACGATATATTGATGGCCCTCTCTGTACCGTTTGACTCTAGTATCCGTTTCTTGAAACTCCTCTGTTGGCTTTCTTGATACTATCCTCACCTAATTCTTTCGCATGCTTAATTCAACGAAATGTGTAATTGCTCTTGATGATGGGGATACAAAAGTGAATGACACTAACCTTGCCATTGAGAAACTAACAGTACAGTGAGAGAAGTGCCCATAAATATACATTATATCAAGATGAGTAATGAGAAACATCGGTTGAGTATAAAGAGCCATAGAGAGCTATAGGAACAGAGATGAGAATTAATGTGCTCCTTAGGAGATTGTGAGCCTAAGGAAGTTGCTATTCCAATCTAGCCTCAGTTTCTTTATCTACCTAATATGCTCATTACAAAGATGAAAGGAGATTAGGTAACATGTTTGGTACAGTGCCCAGAACATAGCAAGAGTGATGCCAACAGGAAAGGAAACAGTTCCCTCAAGCCCTTTTCCCATATTTTTTTGATATGATCAATTAATATTTTCTAGCTTAATATAGAGTACTATGCAAAGCATCTTCAGGCCTTCCTTCCAAACGATTATTCCCCTAACTTCCATCTAGCTGTTTTATATAATTGAATGTAAAGCTTTGGTGCAAATTAATGCAGAGGATCCTGATGTTATGATGTGTTATTTATCTTCTGAAGTTAACAAGAGAGCCTCGTCTGTGTTAAGCTGTGATGTAATTGATTGGTTTGGAGTTAGCATTTTTCTCATGCTGTAGAGCACACAGTAGGTGTTTAATGAGTGAATAAATGAATACAAGTGTCAACTCTGTGTCAACCTCTAGTCTGTTGATTAATAGTGCTCTAATTCTCCCAGTGAACACTTTGGAAAATGATTTTTCTCTGACTTAAAAATAATACTTTTAGTCATTACCGAAAATTTGGGAATTACAAAAAGATAAAAATAAATATAAAAATTGAAGTAGTTATTCACCATTTAGTAATTGCAAATGTTATCTATAACTGATGTCTTAAAATGTATTCTTATACCATTTACTTGAAGTGTACAATTTAAAGATTTTTAGTGTATTTACAGAGTTGTGTAACTATCATATAATCAATTTTAGAACATTTTGATTACTCTATGAAAAAATCTTGTGACCATTAGCAATCACCACCCCCCATTTTACTCCAGTCCTAAGCAACTATTAATCCACTTTTTTTCTTTATAGATTTGCCTATTAAAGTTTCATAGAAATGGTATCATAGTATATGGTCTTTTGTGACTAGGTTCTTTCAATTAGTGTAATGCTTTCAAGATTCATCCATGTTGTAGCATATGTTCAGTACTTCCTTTTTATTGCCTACTGATATCCCATTGTATGGATATGCTGCATTTCATCCATTTGTCTGTTGAGGGGTATTTGGGTTGTTTCCACTTTTTAGCTATCATGAATAATGTTGCTGTGACCATTCATGCACAAGTTTTTGTTTGGATTTGTGTCTTCCTTTCTGTTGGATATGTACCTAGGAGTGGAATTGCTGGGTCATATGGTAGCTCTGTGTATAATAACATTTTGTGGATTTGCCAAACTTGTTTTCCAAAGGGCTGTACCATTTTACATTTTTACCAGTGGGGTATAGAGGTTCTGATTTCTCTGTATCCTTGCCAATGCATGTTATTGTCTTTTTGAGTATAGCTATCCTAGTGGATATAAAATGATATCTCATCATGATTTTGATTTACAATTTTCTGATGGTTAATGTTATTTTTTGAGATGTTTTTAGACTGTATTTAACAAAATATGGATTATACAGTATATGCAGTTTTTTAGTCTTTTGCATTTAAGCCTATTTTTAGCATTAGCAAGCATATTTTACAAAAGAATTTTCCTAGTTTCTTCTCTTTTTGCTCTCCCCCAAAACTACAATTGTTGTGAAAACTTGTCTAATTTAATTCACCTTGAAAATAAAATCTATACGAATATATATCAAATTATTATTAGTTGGTAGCAGGGCATGGTAGTGGGTAGGATTAAAGGAAGTGGGTTTTCTACCTTAAATATTTCTATAATGTTTGAATTTTTAAAATTTACATGTATCCTCTTATCATAACAAAACATAAAGGTGAGTTAGTTCCTGGAGTACTAAGTAGAGTCCACATGAAAAACAATTCCTAAATTTGAAAGTCATAATTAACACCATAAATTTAGTCATTCAAATTTATTAATTTTATCAGATATAGTACTTATAGGCCATTTATTAAATACATTTTCTTTTATTTGGTCCTACTGGGGTGTCCAACCTTTTTTCTTCCCTGCTGCATATTGGAAGAAGAGTTGTCTTGGATGACACATTAAATACACACACTAATGAAAGCTGATGAGAAAAAAAAGGTCTGTGCATAATTTTTGCAATATCCAGCACCACAGATAAGCAAAACAGTCCTCATGTAATCTGTATGCGACCCATGATTGCAGGCTGGGCACCCCTGCTAGTCTAGGAACAGATGCTATGCAGAATATTAAAAATATATATATTTAGTGTTATAGTCAAGAAAGAGAATATTGGTTATGAGCTTTTGACAAGTACCTAAAAAGCTGTACAGTTGTCCCTCAGTATCTTCTGAGAAACTGGTTTTGGAAGACCTGTTGGAGATAGCAAAATCTGTGGATGGTCAAGTCTCTGTTATAAAATGTCATAGTACATGTATTTGTATATAACCTACATGCATCTTCCTGTGTAAATTAAGCCTATTTTTAGCATTAGCAAGCATATTTTACAAAATGTGCTTTAAAGCATTTCTTGATTATTTACAGTACCTAAAAGAATGTGTAAGTAGTTATTATACTATATTGCTATACATTTATATACTATGTAAGTAGTTCTACTTTACTATTTAATGAATAATGACAAGAAAACATCTGTACATTCAGTACAGATGCAGGGTTGTTTTTTTCTGGTATATTTTTGATCTGTAATTGGTTCAATCTACAGTTGTGGAACCCACAGATACAGAGGGTCAGCAGTACTATGAAGTGATATTTTTTTTTTTTTTAAGGACAAGATAGTATATTTGTATATTTAGTTCTTAAGTCTAATTGATTCAAAAAGTCATTGACAAGGGCTTAGAAGAGCTTTTTGTAGGGATTTTATTGCAATAGGATTTGAAATCTCTAGTTGTCAGAGTTTGTTTATTTACTCTCAGATCAGGCAGAGTTGTGGCGGGAACACGTCCAATCGTTTACGTAGGGAAAGGTGGCTCATTGGACACTGCAGTTTCTATTGAATAATAGCCAGGTAATGGGGACTAAATGTTAAAAGGCTGTTTCCAGGATGATGGGACAGGCTCTTAGTAGGATTGTTGAGAAAATTTCCAGTTTAGATATACTTCAGATAATATAAGGAGAGCTAGTTGGTATCATTCAAGAAAGGAAGGAAGTTAATAGGCCATATGCTAGGAAATTGCAGGCAGTTTTATACATATTGTCTCATTTAATCCTCACAACAGCCCTTCAGGGTAATGGTATTATCTCCATTTTGCAGGTGAGGAAAGTGAGGCTCAGAGAGATTAAGTAACTTGCCCAAAGTAACACAGCCAGTATGTAACAGAGCTGGGATTTGAATCCAAGTCTGTCAGACTCCAAAGCCCATGCTCTTTCCAGTACTTCACACTGCAGCAGGTAAGTTATAATACTTGGCCCTGTGCTTGCCTTACTTAGGGCACCCTCAAGCCTTTTTCCATTACTCACTATCCAACCCCTAGTCAGAATCCAGTTAGAAGCATCTGTGATTTAGGCCAAGAACAGTCCTTGTATGTACTGCACTGTACTGCAGTGGTACTTACTAGTCCTTTTGGGACATTGCAATTACTCTTTCACAAAGAACAATGTACATCTTTCCCTTCAAAATACGATTTCTTCTGTTATAGTTTGGCAGCAAAATTTGTCCCTGGAGCTGGGCACATTGACTCAAGTCTTTAACCTCAGCACTTTGGGAGGCTGAAGTAGGAGGATCACATGAGACCAGGGTTCGAGATCATCTTGGGCAACATAGTGCCACCCTGTCTCTGCAAAATATTTAACAATTGACTGGTTGTGGGGCGGTGCCTGTGGCTCAAAGGAGTAGGGTGCCGGCCCCACATACCAGAGGTGGCAGGTTCAAACCCAGCCCTGGCCAAAAACTGTGAATAAAACAAACCAGGTTGGCTGTGATAGCATGCACCTGTAGTCCCAGTACTTGGAAGGCTGAGGTCAAAGGATTGCTTG